GTGCCCCCTGGACTGGGCACTGGAATCTTGGGGTCAGGGTTGGACCCTTCACTCTAAGAAGGACCGTGAGGGGCTGCAGGGTGTCCAAAGACGACCAGCTTACCTAGGATCCAGAGCTCAAGTGTGGGGAAGAGCAGCTGAGGGAGCTGGGGGTGCTGAGCCTGGAGCAAAGGAGGCTCAGGGGAGACCTTCTGGCTCTGCCAGCCCCTGACAGGAGTCTGGAGCCAGGTAGGGGTCGGGCTCTGCTCCCAAGGAACAACCGCCAGGAGAAGAGGAACCAGCCTCAAGTTGCCCAAGGGGAGGCTGAGGTTGGATCTGAGGAATAATTTTTCCCCAAAAAAAGTTTGTCCAGGGCTGTGCCAGGCTGCCCAGGGCAGTGGTGGAGTCCCCACCCCTGGAGGGGATTCCAAGCTGTGGCGATGTGGTGCTGAAGGATGTGGGCTGGTGCTGGGTCAGTGGTTGGACTTGATGATCTCAAAGTTGTCTTCCAGCCTAAAGAGTTCCATGGTTGTATGACCTCAGAAACTTTGCTGTGAAGTGAGGAAGGGAGATGGAAAACTCATGAGGCACCAAAGGCCACCCAGCAGCTGTTCATCCCCCACCAATGCTTTTGTTCCCCCCTCAGGTCCCTAAAGACCCAGCACAGAGACGGATTCGGGAACTCACCACGTTGAGCAAGCAGCTGCAGAAGGTCCACCCCAACGTCCTGGCCAAAATCCTGAAGCAGGAAACCTTCTACCAAAACGAGGAGATCGTGGCAATCAACAAACCCTACGGCCTTCCCGTGCACGGTGAGGAGAACATCATCAAGGAGGAACTGGAGGTGGCTCCACGGCGCTGATGGAGCATCTTCTCTCTCCTGTCTTGCCTCTGGAGAGTGATCTGAGGTACGTGGGGAGATGAACGTCCACCCTGCTTGTCTCCTGGGTTCTGCAGGTGGCCCAGGGGTCAAGAACTGTATCGCCGACGTGCTGCCCATTTTGGCCAAGATGTTGGAGAACATGAGAGCTGAACCCCTGCACCTCTGCCACCGGCTGGACAAAGAGACCACGGGCGTGATGGTGCTGGCGCGGAGCAAGGAGGCGGCCGAGAGGATCCGCCTGCTCTTCAAGACCCGTCAGGTGGAGAAGACCTACTGGTAGGGAAGGTTTGAGGCCTCGAAGGGACGAGGGATGGGTTCTTCTCCTCCTGGAGAAGACACCCTGGCGGTTTCCCTCCTCAGGGCAATTAGCCTGGGCGAGCCAGAGCCCACCGAGGGCATCGTGGAGATCCCCATCCTGGAGAAGGAGGTGAAGAGCCACCAGTCGCACTACAAGGTGAGCCCCTCGTCCCTTTGGCCACCTCTCCACCCCCTCGTTGACCTCCTCACCCCCTCA